CCACCGACTCCCACAGCTACCTAGAATACTCCTCCTCCCACCCACCTTCCTGCAAAAATGCTATCCCCTATTCCCAATTCCTTCGCCTCCGCCGCATCTGCTCCCAGGATGAGGCATTCCACTCCCGTACATCTCAGTTGTCCTCGTTTTTTCAAGGACCGTAACTTCCCCTCCTCGGTGGTCGAGAACGCCCTCAACCGTGTCTCCCACATCTCCCGCACCTCATCCCTCACACCCCGTCCACGCAATAAGAACCAAAAAAGAATCCCCCTCGTCCTCACGTACCACCCCACCAACCTCCGGATCCAACGCATCATCCTCCGACACTTCCGCCATCTGCAATCCGACCCCACCACCAAAGACATCTTTCCCTCCCCACCTTTATCTGCTTTCCGGAGGGACAACTCTCTCCGTGACTCCCTCGTCCGCTCCACACTCCCCTCCAGCTCCACCACACCCGGCACTTTTCCCTGCAACCGCAGGAAGTGCTACACCTGCCCCCATACCTCCTCCCTCACCCCCATCCCAGGCCCCAAGAAGACTTTCCACATCAAGCAGATGTTCACCTGCACATCTGCCAATGTGGTATACTGCATCCGCTGTACCCGGTGTGGCTTCCTCTACATCGGGGAAACCAAGCGGAGACTCGGGGACCGCTTTGCAGAACACCTACGCTCGGTTCGCAACAAACAACTGCACCTCCCAGTCGCGAACCATTTCAACTCCCCCTCCCATTCCTCAGACGACATGTCCATCCTGGGCCTCCTGCAGTGCCACAACGATGCCACCCGAAGGTTGCAGGAACAGCAACTCATATTCCGCTTGGGAACCCTGCAGCCCAATGGTATCAATGTGGATTTCACAAGTTTCAAAATCTCCCCTCCCCCCACCGCATCCCAAAACCAGTCCAGCTCGTCCCTGCCTCCCTAACCTGTTCTTCCTCCCATCTATCCCCTCCTCCCACCTCAAGCCGCATCTCCATCTCCTACCGACCAACCTCATCCCGCCCCCTTGACCTGTCCGTCCTCCCTGGACTGACCTATCCCCTTCCTAACTCCCTACCTACACTCACCTTTCCTGGCCCTATCCCCGCCTCTTCGACCTGTTTGTTTCTTCTCCACCTATCCTCTCCTCTATCCCTCTTCTATTCGCCTCCCACTCTCTCCCTATTTATTTCAAAACCCCCTTCCCCTCCCCCTTTTCTGATGAAGGGTCTAGGCCCGAAACGTCAGCCTCTCTGCTCCTATGATGCTGCTTGACCTGCTGTGTTCATCCAGCCCTGCACCTTGTTGTCTCGGATTCTCCAGCATCTGCAGTTCCTACTATCTTTGACTTATCTATCCTCATGTTTTTCAAAATTTCTAGCACGTCCTCCTTCCTAACATCAACCTGTTTGAGCATATCAGCCTGTTTCATGCTGTTCTCACCATGTCAAGGTCCCTCTCACTGATGAATACTGAAGTATTCATTAAGGACCTCCCCTACCTCCTCCAACTCCACACACAAGTTCCCTCCACTATCCCTGATTGGCCCTACCCTCACTCTGGCCATTGTTTTGTTCCTCACATAAGGATAGAGTGCCTTGGGGTTTTCCTTAATCCTACCCGCCAAAGCTTTTTCATACCCCCTTCTAGCTCTCCTAAGTCCATTCTTCAGGTCCTTCCTGGCTACCTTGTAGACCTCTAGAGCCCTGTCTGATCCTTGCTTCCTCAGCCTTATGTAAGCTTCCTTCTTGACTAGATGTTCCACATGCCTTGTCATCCAAGGTTCCTGCACATTACCATCCCTTCCTTGCGTTAGTGGGACAAACCTATCCAGAACTCGTAGCAAGTGCTCCCTAAACAACCTTCACATTTCTGTCGTGCATTTCCCTGAGAATATCTGTTCCCAATTTATGCTCCACAGTTCCTGCCTAATAGCATTGTAATTCCCCCTCCCCCAATTAAATACTTTCCCATACTGCCTGCTCCTATTCCTCTCCATGACTATAGTAATGGTAAGGGAGTTGTGATCACTATCACCGAAATGATCTCCCACTGAGAGATCTGACACCTGGCCTGGATCGTTGCCAAGCACCAAATCCAATATGGCCTCCTCTCTAGTTGGCCTATCCACATGTTGAGTCAGAAATCCTTCCTGGACACACCTGACAAAATCTGCTCCATCCAAACTATTTGCACTTAGGAGGTTGCAGTCTATATTAGGGAAGTTGAAGGCGCCTATGACAACAACCCTATTACTTCTACACTTTTCCATAATCTGCCTCCCAATCTGTTCCTCAGTGTCTCTGTTGCTATTTGGGGGTCTATTGAAAACTCCCAATAAAGTGACTGCTCCTTTCCTGTTTCTGATTTCCACCCATTCTGACTCAGTGGACAAACCCTCCTCTATGACTTCCCTTTCTGCACCTGGGATACCATCCCTGATTGGCAATGCCACTCCCCCACCTCTTTTACCTCCCTCCCTATTTCTTTTGAAACATCGTTACCCCAGAACATCCAACAACCATTCCTTCCCCTGTGTTATCCAAGTCTCCGTAATGGCCACAACATCATTCAAGATGTGGAAGCGTTAGAAAAGGTGCAGTGGAGATTTACCAGGATGTTGCCTGGAATGGAGGGAAGGTCTTACGAGGAAAGGTTGAGAGAGCTAGGGCTTTTCTCTTTAGAACGATGAAGGATGAGAGGTGACTTGATAGAGGTGTACAAAATGATCAGAGGTATAGATACAGTAGACAGCCAGAGACATTTTCCTACGGTTGAGGTAGCTTTTACGAGGGGACACAGTTTTAAAGTGAAAGGAGGTAGATATCGGGGAGACGTCAGAGGTAGGTTCTTTACTCAGAGAGTGGTAGGGGCGTGGAATGCATTGCCGGAGAGGGTAGTGGAGTCGGCCTCATTAGGGGCATTTAAGCGGCTATTAGCTAGGCATATGGATGATTAGTATAAGGTAGCGGTGGAGGTTAGACAGACCTTAGGTTTAGGGTAAAAGTTCGGCACAATATCGTGGGCCGAACGGCCTGTACTGCGCTGTACTGTTCTATGTTCTATGTTCTATCATAGCTCCAAGTACTGATCCATGCTCTAAGTTCGTCACCCTTATTCCTGACACTTCTTGCGTTAAATTAGACACACTTCACACTGACTGCAACTTTGCTATATCAACTGTCTGTCCTTCCTCACAGACTCTCTGCATGCTGTACCTGCCTGTACACCAACTACCCCATCCGCTGATCCGTTGCTCCGGTTCCCATCTCCCTGCCAAACTAGTTTAAACCCTTCCGAAGAGCTCTAGCAAACCTCCCGCCCAGGATATTGGTGGCCCTCCAGTTCAGGTGCAACCCTTCCTTCCTGTACAGGTTCCACCTTCCCCAGAAGGTATCCCAATGATCCACATATCTGAAAACCTCCCTCCTACACCAGCTTTGTAGCCACGTGTTCAGCTGCACTCGCTCTCTATTCCTAGCCTCGCTAGCCCGTGACACCGGTAATAATCCTGAGATTACTACTCTGTTCGTCCTCCCTTTTAGCTTCCAACCTAACTCCCCATATTCACTTTTCAGGTCCTTATCCCGTTTCCTAGCTATGTCATCGGTACCGATGTCTACCACGACTTCTGGCTGCTCATCCTCCCCCTTAAGAATCCTGTAGACTTGATCCGAGACATCCCTGGCCCTGGCACCCAGGAGGCAACATACCATCCGGGAGTCTCGCTTGGTACCACAGAGTCTCTTGTCTGTTCCCCTAACCATTGAATCTCCTATCACTATTGCTCTCCTGTTCTCCCTCCTTCCCTTCTGAACCACAGAGCCAGAGGCCTGACCACCATATTTTTCCCCTGGTAGGTTGTCCCCGCTAACAGTGGTATACTTATTATTGAGGGGAACAGCCACAGTGTAATAACATCAGTTCAGTGATGTTATTACATTCCCCTGGATTTGAATCCAGACCTCCTGGCTCAGAGGTAGAGACACTATCACTGCACCTCAAAAACCCTGTTCTGCTGATTGGATTGTGATTTCCTAAATAACCTGTTACTACCTCCATAACAATGGATTCCAGCACTTACCCAAATTGTTTCCTGCATCTGTCTCTCTACTTTCTTGAACAGTGTCTCACACATACAGTTTTCTAATCCACTGGTGCTTTTTCAGAATCAACAGAATTTTGGGTTGCAATAAATGCATCCACTGTCTCTACAGCCACTTCCTTTAAGGACCTACAATGTCAGCCATCTGGTCCAGTGAGTCTGTCAGCCTTTAGTCCCATTAATACCTTTTCTGAAGTGGTCATGATTATTTTCTGTTCCTACCTTGTTTTTGTCTTTTGTTTTTTTCTTTAAACTATTCTTGGAGTGTTTTTTGTGTCTTCTATTGTGAAAATAGATACTAAATAGTTGTTCCAATTCTTTGCCATTTCCTTGTTGCAGTCTCATCCTTTAAGGACCAAAGCCTACTTTAGTTACTCTCCTCCTTTTTATATACATTGTCAGAAGAATGCCTCTTAATGCACTATTATAAAACTTGCTCCATACTTCACATTACCCATCTTGTGCTACAGTGGAGGTGGTTGGGCTGTGAGGGTGTTCAGCAGTTGTGGGAGGTCAGTATGTGTAGATTAGGAGGGGAGTTGGTTGGGCAGTGGGTGGTATTGGCTGTAGTTGGGTTGGACTTGAATGGTCCAGACAATGGGTTGCACAATGGGCAGTAGAAAGATCTTCCACATACTGCTGGTTCTGGTCTCAGTCAGAATCTGTCAGTAAAAGCTCTTTTTTTAAAGCTCACTTCACTCCCTCATCACCTACTTTGAATTTACTCATTGTCCACTCAGCAAATATAAAACTAGTTCCTAAATAAAGTGGAAACTTACTTGAGAACAGAGCCTGATATATCAAAATAAATTTAAGAATGTCTGTTTGGCCTGCTGTCCACACTTAGACTATGTGCTGATCTGCTGATAGATTTCATGAAAATAAAGCATTTAAATTTGAGTTAAACTCACCCCTCGTCTTGAAATCGCTTCACGTAACAAAGAGACAACATCTACTCCTTGTACTCCTTTAACAAAGAATCCTTTACTCCATGAGATGAGAATACCCTGCAATGGACAACTATCAGATGTAAGAAATGGAACATTTTCATCACTCCCTCCTTCTGTCTGCATTAATGACCAGCATCTACTCTCATCATCCTTGGATGATGGGAAAAATTTGTAACTGTAAGAGCTGCTCCTTTTTTTGAGGTATTTCTTCGAATCATAGGAGCAGTAATTACTATTTTGTAAGCTGTTGCATTGTTTTGGTACTTGCAGAAGTCTGTGCAGAACTCTGCAGCACTAGAGATCTGGGTGTCCTGATGCATGAACCACAAAATGTTGGCATGTAGTCACAGCAAGTGTTTAGGAAAGCAATCTTTGTTGAAAAAGAGAATGGAGTATAAAAAGTCTTGGTTTAATTGTATACTGGTGAGATTGCATTGGAGTATTGTGTACAGTTTTAGTCTCCATACTTAAAATGAATCAGAATTACATTGAAAGCAGTTCAAAGGTCCTCTAGGGATAAGGAAAGGTTGAGCAGGTTGGACCTATACTCTTGAGGTTGTTGAGTTTGGTTGGCTCGCCAAGCTGGTTTCTTGTTTTGCAGACATTTCATCACCATGCTTGGTAACATCCTCAGTACAGCATCCGATGAAGCATCGGTGTGTTTTCCCGCCTGGTTTTTAAACTCTGGGGTCCGTTGCGATGGATTGCCTCATTTCTGGTTTTCCTTCGTACTGGAATGTATATGGGGTCGAGTTCAATGTGTTTATTAATAGCATGCTTCGTGGAGTGCCATACTTTCAGGAATTCTCATGCCTGTCTCTGCCTAGCCTGTCCCGGGATCTTGGTGTTGTCGCAGTCGAAGTGATGGTTCTCCTTGTCCATGTGGATTGAGATGAGTGAGTATTGGTCGTGTCTTTTTGTAGCATGCTATGTTCGTGTGCATGCTATTAATAAACACATAGAACTCGACCCCATATACATTCCACTACGAAGGAAAACCGGAAGTGAGGCAATCCATCTCAACGGACCCCAGAGTTTAAAAACCAGGCGGGAAAACACACCGATGCTTCATCAGAGGCTGCACTGAGGGTGTTACCAAGCATGGTAACGAAACGTCTGCGAAACAAGAAACCAGCTCAGCGAGCCAACCAACCTCAACACCCACAACCCGAGCTACAAATCTACTGTAAAACCTTATGGACCTATACTCATTGATATTTTGAAGAATGCGCTGTGGTCTTATTGAAGCAGATAGGATTCTGAGTGGATTTGACAGGGTGGATGTGGAGAGGATGTTTCCTCTGGTGGGGGCACAGTTTGACAATAAGGGCTCTGCCATTTAAGGTTGAGATGAGGTTTTTTGTTTGCTCAGAGAACTGTCAGTCTTTGAAATTCTCTTCACCAGAGCATCTTTAGAGGCTGGGTTACTTAACATATTCAAGGCTTATTAAGAGAGATTTTTGGTTAATGAAGGAGTTAGTAGTCATAGAGGACCAGGCATTTGAACACGGATTGTTTCAGTATCTGAGGAGTCGTGAATGGTGCTGAACATTGTGCAATCATTGGCGAACATCCCCATTTTTGACCTTATGATGGAGGGAAGGTCACTGATGAAACAGCTGAAGATGATTGGGCCTAGGACACTGTCCTGAGGAATTCCTGTAGAGATGTCCTGGAGCTGAGATAACTGACCTCCAATCACCACAGCCACCTTTCTATGTGCCAGGTATGACTCTCACCAGTGGAGAGTTTGCCCCCGATATCCATTGATTCCAGTTTTGCTATAGCTCTTTGATGCCACACTTCGTCAAAACCAGCCTTGATGTCACTCTCACCTCACCTCTATAATTCAGGGCTTTTATCATGTTTATAATTTAAGAACTAGAAGCAGGAGCTGGCCATTCACCCCTCGTGCCTACTCTGCCATTTAAAACAATCATGGTTGATCTCATTTTGGCCTCAAATCACTTTCCTGCGCATTCTCCATAACCCAAGTTTAAGTCAAAGTTTAATGAAGCTGAATGGCTTCCTCAGCAACTAAACTGAGAGTTGGGTGGCTGCTGAGTAAGTACAGCTTTATTTGCTGCTAATTAAACATATCACTGCTTTACTTATAATGGAAGTAGATTGATGGGACTGTAATTGACTAGATTGGATTTGTCCTGCTTTATGAGGATAGAATATATACCTGGGCAGTTTTTCACAGTGCTGGGTAGCTGCTGACCCTGGACATCACTAATGGGATCTTGACATTAATGCAGCCAGATGCTGGAACACTGTCTATCTGCTGTCTAGAAAGTTCCCACATGAAATGAGTTTAAGCAACTCATATAAATAATAAATCCTGCAGCAGAAATGAGGCTGAGTCTGGGCTGACTTACAGATATTGCTCAGCTCATCCTCAGGAGGGTTGGTTTCAAAAGATAAAAAGAGGAAGCACATCAATATAACCAAGATCAAGTCTCATGGAGTTAAAACAAAACTGCTTCAATATCGAGGAGAGAATAAATAGCATACTGGCAAGTGGGTAAAGAAGCTGACATAAATTCACCTGACTACAAGTCACCTGGAGAGTCCAGCAACAAATTGTCCCTCAGCAGCTCAAGGCCAAAGGCTACTGTGATGGCAAGGCAGGGTCTTGGAGGTCCTGGGACCCCAGGAGGGATCGAAGTGTCTTTGTGTAACACAAGCAGATCCTTCGCCAGTTGTGCACACCGCAGCAGATGTGCTCGAGGCAAAATGTCTGCGTGGAGCATGGGTAAAGTACAGTGCAATTCAATAAAGAAACTATTTATTGACTTTAGGGGCAATTACTAAAAGCAAATTATGAATGGAAATTATGTTGTAGCATTAACACATTTTGGACAACACAGTTGGTTGCCTCCTTGTTAGTTGTGGACCATATAACGGATAGTGAGAATTTTGGACCTCTCAAATTGAGGCATCTGATAAACCTAGACAGTAGATTCAATGGCTTGCAATTAGGAGTGGGTCTAGTCTGGTTTCCTCACACTTTTGCGACATGAGTGTTGCAAGGAGCTGCACTAATCACCATTGCTCACAACCCATGCTGGTGCAGAGAGAACAACAAACTGAACTCTCTCCTCACCACTCATACTTACCTCATCCAGTTTGCTCTGTCTGCAAGGAAAGGAAAAAGTGAAGCCCAGTGGAAGTTTTCTATCTTTTAGTTGCTGTTTCTCAATGAAATCTGCCAGGCATTCAGCAATGTAATCAAAAAACTGGGGAAACAAATGGAAAAGTTGAGCGGTGTAAATTTCTCAGTCTGGGTCCACTCTGGTTATAAACATTGAAAGAATGTAGTCACCTGTCGACTGTTTTCATGTTTCATATCTTCAGTCATGGGATAGATGTTACTGGATATGTGGACTATCTGCCGCCCATCCTCTGACACCTTGACCCTTAACACACGGAACATGGAGCCTCCTAGATCCAATGCCAAAAACTCTCCTTTTTCTGAAACAAAATGTAAAGTCTGGCATTTATCAAAGAATGGAGAAGGCTAGACAGAACATAATTTATATTAGTAAAGAAAAATTACTGGAGAAGTTAATGGAACTAAAAATTGAAGAGTCCCCTGGACCTGATATCACACATCCCGAAGTCTTGTAAGACTGGTGTACAGCCATCCTGGTTGCATTAGTAATACATACTTCCACATTCCTAGCCTGATTCCACCACTATATATACACCTGTCTCTCCACTTTCAACAGTTTACAGGGATGGTTCCCTCTTGATACCCTGGTCCACTCGTCCATCACCCTCAACATGTCATCACTCACCCCATGGCACCTTCCCCTGTGACTGCAGGAGATGCATTACCTGTCCTTTTACCTTCTCTTTCCTCACTGTCCAAGGTCGCAAACATTCCTTTCAGATGAAGCAGTGTTTTATTTGCATCTCTTTGAATCTAATCTACTGTATTCACTGTTCATAATGTTGTCTCCTCTACACTGAGGAGACTGAGCACAGACCAGGCAATTGTTTTGTGGAACACCTCCTCTATGTCCGCAAGCACAATGCTCAGCTTCTGGTTGCCCATCATTCCAACCCCTCGTCATGGTCTCACACTGACACCTCTATCCTCAGCCTGCTCCAAATAGGATCAATGTTTCAGAAACAGCCCTTCGTCTTTCAGTGCTGACACTTTACAGTCTTCCAGGTTCAATGTTGAGTTCAATCATTTTATACTGTAATTTTAAAAAAATATTTCATGCAATGTTCATGTCACTGACAAAGCCAACATTAGTTACCCATTTCCAATTGCCCTTGAACTGAGTGGCTCCATTTCAGAGACGGTTTACAATTTAACCACGTTGCCGAGGGCCTGGAGTCAAATGTGGGCCAGACTAGATGAAAGTTTGGCAGGTTTTCTTCCCTGAAGGACATTAATGAACCAAATAGGTTGCTACAGCAATTAATTGTGGCTGCATTGTCACTATTAATGAGACTAGCTTTATAGTACAGATTTATTGATTGGATTTAATTCCATGAGCATTAGCCTAGGATTCAGGATTGCTAGTCCAGTGGTATCATCACTGTATCTCCCAAAATCTCTGCCCCATTTGGTTTCCCTTTTTTGCTTGTCTCAGTTTATTTTTTTAATTTTTGTTCTCAGTCAGCAGCACTTGCTCTGGGCATATCTTTTACTTTGTTGATATTTTTCCTGCTCTATCTTCACTCCCTGGTAAACTAACCCTCCTGTCATTCAGCCTGTTCTGTCTTTCACCTTATCAGAGACCTCCCTTTTGTTCTTATGCCACTCACCACTTGCTCAAAACCTGTTACATTTCTAATATTTCCCCTCAGCTCTGGTGTAAGGCCACAAACCTGAACTGTTGACTCTATTTCTCTATTTCCACAGATGCTGTCTGACCTGCTGCAGGTTTCCAGCAAGTTCTGGTTTAATTTCAGATTTCACCGCTTTCTTTTTGGTTTTCATCCTCTAAAATTCATGAGATTTTGAAATGGTCCCAGTTGATTAAAAAAGAGCATTAATTCTGCATTTCAAGAATAGAGGGAACTACAGGCCAATTAGTCACCAGGAAAATGCGGAGTCCGTTATATTTAGAATATCCAAATACAATCAAGCGAAGTCAATGTGGTTTATGAAAAGGAAATATTTGACAAATCTATTAGAGTTATTTTGATGAGGTCACTAGCATGAATATAGTGGACCCAATGGATGTATTTGTAATCGTAAAACCTTCTGCAGGAGGTAAGTAGTGGATTGCACCAATTAAAGATTGAAAAGGGTTTCTTTCTGGAGATGGAGGACTTCGGTATTTTGTATTTGTCTTTGCCAAGGAAGAAAATGCTGTCAGCCATAGTGAAAGGAGAGATGCTTGAGGTGGGGAGGCAGGTGGTGGGGATGACACACAGAGTCTACAGGGGACATTGACGGGTTTCACTGAGTGGGCAAACAATTGGCAGGCGGAATATAACGTGGGAAAATGTGGACTTAACGCAATTTGGCATAAAATCCAATGTGTGAAAAAAATTTAGTTTGTGTCATTTAGTCCTCAAGTCTTTGCCAGCTGTCTGTGTCCCTTCAAGTTTATATCCTTCAAGTGCTCACCTGATTTCTTTTGAATTCATTGAACGTCTCTGCTTTAACCACTTTCCACCACCTTCCTGGGCAGCAAATTTCAGGTCATTTTACCATTTGCTGCCTTTTGATTTAATTTGATTTATTTTTGTCACATGCACCTAAGTACAGTGGAAAGTTTTATATTGTGTGTGGTACAGGCAGATCATAACATGCAAGGGCATACAGATTAAAGGGTGTTTAGACAGAACGAGGCATACCAGGTTTCAGCTGCACAGGAGGTGCTCAAAAGCAAGATTAACACTGGATTTGAAATTAGAGAGGTCCATTCAGCAGGCTAATAGCAACGGGGAAGAAGCTGTTCTTAAACCTGTTGGTACATGTGTTTAAGCTTCTGCGTCTTCCACCTAATGGTAGAGATCGGGAGAGAGTATAACCAGGGTGGGAGGGGTCTTTGATGACACTGGCTGTCTTTACGTGGCACCTGGCCAAAGCGCTAAAAGCTAATAAAAGTTTAGAATAATACTTAACAAGATGCATCACCTTGAATGAGTCCTGTGAACATTCCTTTACAAGCTGAAGATGACACCTGCACTTGTTTTCCCATCCTGTGTTGTCTGTGTGAGCCAGCAGTTTTGTCTATTGTATCTGTTGTTTTCTGTACTGGTTATTTGTGATACCGTATAAGAGAGAGAGAGGTTCTTTCCAAGCTATTGCTGCTGCTGCTGCTGCTGCTGCTGGACTTCATTTCAGCTCAGAATCGTGAACAGTGCCAGGAATGAACTGAAGCCTCCAGACCAGCCATCGATTGAGGTGACCCCGGAGGGCAGAAGAACATGAGACTTGTTGCTTTTTCTAGAAAGATGTGAGACTTGTTGCTTTTTCTCCCTTTTTTCTGTTCCATTTATTATTGCCATTACAATCATTTATTATTACCAATATAATAATTTACTATTACTTAATAAACATTAATATTTAAGCAAATTGCTGTTCATTAATCTTCTCTTAGCTATATTTACCTGAATCTTAAAAGAACCACTTGGATACATACTGTGATCCAAGGCATTTTTGGCGACGAGGATGTGAAAATATTTAAGAAAAGGAATAGGCAACCGGATGCTCCGGAGAGAGTAAGAACTGCCGATGCTGGAGCCAGAGATAAAATAATGTGGAGTTGGAGGAGCACAACGGGCCAGGCAGCATCACAGGAGCAGGAAAGTTGATGTATCGGGTTGGGACCCTCCTTCAGAAAATCCCGACCCGCAACGTCAGCTTTCCTGCTCCTCTGATGCTGCCTGGCCTGCTGTGTTCATCCAGCTCCACACTGATGCTCCGGAGACCTTCCGTATTCCAGGATGACTCTCGGTTCATGTTAATCTGTAAGCACAATTAGTGCCCCCGCAAAAGTGGGGGATGGTCATAACCAGAAAAAGAGAGAAAGGAGGGTTAGTCATGCAGGCTGCAGTACACAAATGCTTGTGGGAGATAGGCTTCCCCAGTGCAGGGGAAGGGCAGTATACCACAAATGGGATGGATATTGTTGACAGCTTTGTGTTCTATGTGTGGGACATTGGAAGGGTGCCAGGCCAAAAACAGACAGCTTGAGGCTGCATTGGCAGCAATAGAACACCGTAACCTTATCCTAACTGAAGCAGTTAAGACAGCGCAGGGGAGAGCTGAGAATGTGGAGGAGAAACAGAATCAGATAGTATGCCATCTGGCAATGGTACAACAGAAAAAGAGAGCAAAATGGCGCAAATGGAAAGTTGACCCAGTCAATGTACATGCACTATTAACCTCACAATGGGACCCTGACCATTAGGATGGGGACGTTTGGTATTCATCTGACTCAGAGTCTGAATGGATGGACGGGGAAGGGGATGCTCCACCTCCAGAGCCATCCTCAGATTGGGGACTAGTAGCACAACCCCTAATAACAAATAAGGTAAAACAGGTAGGAGAACAGAACCCCCAAATAAAATAGAAATGGTACATAGCTGATGGAGCCAAGGAGGGAAAGGAAGGTGTTACCAAACTCCATGAACAAATAGCTGAATACCCATCAGACAGACAAGCCCTGACTGGACCTTACCTGCATCTCCCATTCAATGAGAGGGGGGGTGGTTTCCGTTCGAACAACTACCTGAAGATACTCGTCATTGTGTTTGGTTCACTAATGGATCAGCCACCTGGAGGAATGGCCAAAAGTGGTGGCGAGCAGCTGCGTTTAATCCCTCCACACAGATGATTATCCATAGTGATGGAGATGGGGGATTGAGCCAGTACGCTGAATTGGCAGCTGTACTCCTAGCGCTGGAAGAAGAGAGTCAGTGTCTGCACACTTATACAGACTCATGGGTAGTGGCCAATGGAATGGCTGTATGGATGCCAACCTGGCAGTCTCATGACTGGATAATTGCTGGAAAGCCCCTGTGGGGAACAGAACAATGGAAACAAATATGGGCAAAGGCACAGCCCATGAAAATCACTGTGTACCGTGTCAATGCCCATGTGAAGGATGGTTCGGAATCTGCTGATCACAACAATACTGGGGATGGAATAGTAAAAGCCAGAACGGTCGAAGATGCATCTGAAGAGTACCACACTGGAAAATGGGGTCATGGAAAATCAGGGCACTGGGGGTATCATGGCACTGTGCAATAGCAAGAGATCAAGGGTTGCATTTACCCGCCAATCTGGTGAAAGAAGTCGTCAGCAAGAGTGAGACATGTCAGAAGGTAAAACATGTATCGCTGCCGAAAAAGCCAGTGGCATAAATCAAGTGAGGAGATCGGCCTGCTCAAACCTGGCAGATTACCTATGTTGGCCCATTACTGCTACAACAACAATATCAATATCTGTTAACCATGGTGGACACCTACTGTGGGCTAATTCTAGCTTTCCCAAC